GAATGATGATGAGCGAGAGTAGGTCTTGAGGAAGCTTCATAACATCATGATCCCTTTGTTATCCCAAATACGACACCTCAAAACTATCCAATACTGCACAATGCCTTCATAAATCTCCCAACCCCTCCTCTCCCACCAAACCCCTCTGAAAGTGACTCTCATTCACTCTCCCACCAACACCTCCCCCACCCTCCTCATATCTTTTTCTCTGCTCCTCACTCCTCTCTCTCATTTTCTGCCTCCTCATGTCTTCCAGAAGAGAACTCTTCTCAGAATACTCCTCACTGCAAATGGAAGCTGCGGCTGTGGCAGGCCCCAGCCCACCGACGTCTTCGAGCCCAAGCCCAAGCAAAAAAACCCGAACCCAATGGGCGGCTTCACATCTTCAACCGCCACCTCCGGCGACCGAATCTGCGCCCACTCAATCGACGAAGACGACGGGGATTTCACATCCACCACCGTGTCGGAAGCCGAGACGGAGACCCAGAGGAGCTGGAAGAATTCGAGTAACGTGATGGCGAAGCAGAGTCCGATAGTGAACAGCGTGGCGGTGGAGAAGGAGTCGGAGGATCCGTACAAGGATTTCCGGCACTCGATGCTGCAGATGATATTTGAGAAGGAGATGTACTCGGAATCCGATCTGGAGGAGCTTCTGGAAGCATTCCTGGAGCTGAACTCGCCGAGACAGCACGAGGTGATCGTGAAGGCGTACACGCAAATCTGCGAAGATGCGTTTCCAAACAATGATAATAACAAGAAGACGACGACGAACAAGAGCAAGGGGATGAGGCGTTATGGTCACGTGAGGAATCAGCCAGCGGCACGTGCGTAGGCCATTCCATGTGAAGGCATTCAATGCCGGCGTGGGAAGAAGCTGCATGCCCGCGTCACTGCCTCTCTGTATCATTCATGTACGTGGGGTTCCCTCATAAAACCATTAATGCTTCAAGCAAAGAACCAGACTTTTATATCTATGATGATTCATCTATATATATTAATCAAATCTCTCTTAGCTTCTCAAGGTAATTCTTAATCCAATATAGATATATAAATCCTGCCGATTTATTTCTTTACATATATATATATTTATATGAATTTACGCAACCTCTCACATGTTTATCTATCAAACTTGCCAGCCTATTTTTTGACATCGATCCCAGTATGTCAAAGGAATTAATATATATGCAGCCTGTTTACTCGAGAGTGGTCATAGGTGATCATGTTTATTTATCAAAATATAAATAAATTGTAGCAATATTAAATTATTAGAATGATCATACTCAATTTTACCGTCTGCCAAAAAATATGGAAGTTTTAATATGACGAGAAATCAGTGTATATATATATATATTTCTATTATTGCTGAAAATTTTGATGGAATTAAAGCCCTAATGTATGGACTATGAAGGTAAAATTTATTAGAAGTGTGCACCAAAATGACTTTCCTTGAAAAAGCTTGTCGTTGAATTGTGGCTGAAATTCAAAGTAAACGAATGAATCCCTCTTGGGTTGATATAGAAATGTGGAACCATTGACTCGGGGAAGGACACCAGAGAAGCGTATAGGTAGCAAAGTCAAAGATTGTTACGCAATAATATTACCTTTTTAAATATTTTGGAAAAATCACCCCATAGTTTCAAGAATTCCAGCATAACAACTCTTTAACTAGTTTTAGACTAGAAAATGATAATGAGATTCCTACTACTCACTTGTCAATGAAATTCTTTGATAATTATGTTCTTTTTCAAAGACCTGAGTAGTTTTTCTTAAAAAAATTTCTTGTATTATTTAAATATACACACATATATATTAATTATTAAATGATTAGCTTTATAGACTGTTGAATGAAACAAATTACACTTTTCAGGTGTGCGTGCCGACCATGCACCACGTTCCCGATGGGAAAGGGAGGAGAGTCGTGAATTAAATGTGGCATAAGAGGGGTGAAAGAAGTGGGGCTTTGGGCAGGCAGAGCATTAACACTGGGAGTTCAATAAATTAACTAAATTAAGAAAGAATATTGCTCTTACTAGTATCTTATTGTACGCACACAATTCGTTATTTATGGAACTGTATCCGTACCCACCAAAGACCCCAAAATTAAACTAGTTACAGACCTAGAGATCGTTTTGTGTGTACGTATGGGAATAAATAAGGGAGCATACCAAATTAATTAAGTTCATTTAAGCAGGCAGAGTGTACGTTAATTTAGTTGTGAAAGATGAGTTTGAACAACGTTCCTTTTTCCCCAGGCTACAGCCACACTTCCACGCTTCCCCCAACTTTGCTAAATATTCATTCACAAATGCCTCGTTTTCCCACCTACTTTCCTCGCCCAACTCTTTATTTATATACTCCAAACAACTACTAACTCCGGTTCAAAATACAAGCTAAATTTTATCTATTTAAGTTTTTAAAAAATAAGTTAAAATCAGTTTTAAACAATAAATATGCAAGGTATGTATTTTTCCCCCCAAATATGCCTTTATTAATGAAAAGAATAAGTAAAAGATGCAGTAAATAAATTAAAGAAGAAGAAAATATATAAGGGGTAAAATCGAAAAAAACTCATTAAATATTTAAACAAAAGTAAATGTTATCTTATAAAAAAAACTAAGCCCCACCAATAGAGTTTAACTTATATTTTGAACCAGAGGTATATACATTTCTTCTTCTATTTTTTTGGCCCAAATTAAAACTTCAAATATCTGCCGGTAAAATCAAAACAAATAAAACTTCAAATGTCACATGAATCATGCAAACATTTTGGACTATACTATTGTTGGTTCTTACTGTTTAATTGAAGTTTAATTTTAGCTGCTGTAGTTTTAAATTGTGATCTTTTGTGTTTATAATTTCATAAGAATTTAATTTAAAGTTTAATGGTGTTGACTTTTAGTTATCATCATTAAGTATAAGGACCAGAACTAAAACTCATCAGGCGAATTTTGGTTTTTGCTATGACACTTAACAATATCAATCCGTATGAAATTATAAGAGCTAAAAACCATAATCTAAAAATAAAAGCACCAAAATTAAAATTCTATTAAACTATAAGAACCAACAATGACATTATATATTTGAGGTTTGATTTTAAAAAGTAATTTTATGCATCAATCTATTTATATAACTCTCAATTAGTTGGTGTGATGGTAAGAGAATTCATAGCCTCATTTGAGTCTGATATACTCAATAAAGATATCGTGATTGATTTTGCATAGGCTTTTTTTTAATATGTAAAGGACTTATTTGGCATACAAAATGAAATAAATTAAAAAATGTTGTGGTTCAAATTTAAGAAAACTAAAATATTGAATAATAATTTTGAAAATATCTTACTTAGGTAGAGAAAAATGAAACAAGAGCGGTAATGTGCTTGCCCCTTTAAAGGAAACAGCATGACCTTCATCTTCAATTCCCAGACATATTATTTGCCATTCCCAAAACACACAAAACAATATATTACTCTCTCATATTTTTATTATAAGTTTCAAATAACTAATTTGCGGATAATAACTAATTAGTTAAAAACAATAAATAGGTTAAAAATATATTTTTATTTTTAAATATGACCTTATAATAAATGAGAAAAAGAGAATGTGTTGAGAAAATATAATGAGAGATTATGGCAAGGAGAGAGAATAAATAATTAGAGGCCAAATTAAAAAAATATATTAATATTAAGATAAATTTTAAATTAAAGCTTATAAAATTAACCTGCACTTGTTCTTAAATTTAAAGCTTATAAATAGAGAATAAAGAAACTTAGTATTTGGCAGTTTTTTATTTTTATTTTTTTACCAGCATTGATATATCAACTTCGAACGCGGATCCAATCACCTTTGTATATACTACCCTACTATTAGAATTTTGAATTGTCTTTACTAAACGATTAAATATATATTATAATAGATTGTACTTTAATATCAGTATGATTAGTGATCACAGACCAATCAGGAGGACTCCAGTACAAAATTACTAAAATGGAAGATAAAATTGTAATTTCAGGCATTAAACTCTAAAATTGATTGCGAAGTCCTGGAGCATGACAAAATGCGAGTAGATTTCCTTTTTCATTCCCCAGCGCGTGTATATCATTGATAGTAGAGCTGGTAAAACGGGCCAACCCGCGGCAGGTTGTGGGTTATGCGGTGCGGGCTCAAAAGGCCCGTTTTCTGGCGGCCGCCAAGGTGGGTTGGCGGGCCAACCCATCAACCCGCCAGAATTTTTATTTTTTTTTTGCCTTTTTTTTAATTTTTCTTAATTTTTTAAATGTTAGCAGTTATATATAATACAAAATAAAAATACTAGAAATGATATAAAATATTACAAACATCCAAATAAAAATTACAACACAATAAAATACAAATAGTATATGATTGTCCAATTTTCCAACATGATAATACACAAGTTCACACTTTTTTTTTCAATGAAATCAATGAGCAATACTGAATAACCTTTTTTATCTAATTATTTCTAATGACAATAAAGTTTGAAGTAAAAATTTGCTTTACTTTTGCCTTTGTTATCTTTTTTTTTATAAAAAAAAATAGGTGGGTTAACCCGCGGGTTGGCCCGCAGGTTGGCAGGCCAACCCGCCGCGGGTTAGGGTTATGACGGTGCGGGTTATGTTTTTCAAGGTAGTGGCGGGTTGGCTTTTGGCCAACCCTAACCCGTCATTTTTGACGGGTTGGCGGGTTGGACCCGCGGGTTCAACCCATATTACCGGTTCTAATTGATAGGGCAACTTGAACAGATGGATAATGGTCTACCCTACTGTTTGAAGCAAAAATATAAAACTTTTGAATGCCTTCAAAATAATCTCGAAACTTGCCATGACCTTTTTCATGAATATAAATTCTGAATAACAAATGTTGGGTGCCAATTATTTCTGACTCACATGATTCCAATTCTATTCAAATCCAAAACGTTTTTTCTTTTGGGGATATTGACCGACATAGAACAGTCTCATAATAAATACTACCTTCAGTTTTAAATGTAAGAGCTGGTTAACTAATTTAAAAAAAATAAGTTAAGTTAGTTATTTGTAATAAATAAGTACTATTTCCTAAAATATCCTTTCTAATCAAGTATATTAACTAGTACTATCATTATTTAAAAGACTATCTTGAAAAAAAAATAGGGAAAATTAATCTTTTGGTCCCTAGAGTTTTCACTCATTTGTAATTTAGTCCTTTTACTTTGACATGGTACAACTCAATCCTTTTAGTTTTAACTCAGTTATAACTCAGTCTTTGAAGTTTGACTAGCTGTAACTCGGTCCCTATAGTTTTGTCTATTTTATAATTTAGTCCTTGTGTTTTTGAAAAGTAAAATTATATATCTAATAAAAAGAGGGACTAAATTATAAAATGGTTAAAATTATAGGGACTGAGTTGCAGTGAGTCAAATTTCAAGGACCGAGTTACAACCGAGTCAAAATTAAAGGAACTGAGTTGCACTAAATCAAAGTGTAGGGACTGAGTTACAAATGAGTGAAAACTATAGGGACCAAAAGATTAATTTTTCCAACAAAAATATATAAATATGAGAGACAAAGTAGATTGGGTTCTTATATGTAGGATTAAAATAAAAGTCAAATGAAGATATTTTAAGAAAGAAAATACCTATTTATTATAAATAACTAATTTAACTTATTTTCTTAATTTTTTTAAATTAATCAATTAGTTTTTATATTTAGAACCGGAGGTTGTAGTTAATCCCAGCTGACATATAACGAGACTGCTAACAATTCCCATATTACGGCGATACGGGCTGCTTCAGATTCAACTCTCTGATTATGTGTTGCAGTATCCTATCCCTTTGACTGAC